AACTTCGTCCTTTTCTTTTATTTTTCTACTTCGAATAAGTAAATCTGTTTCAGTTTTAATTCGAGTGGAGCAGAAGCTACAAGAGCGAGTGCCCGCCTTTCAGCGTCCTTGATAAGCACGCGCGCTCGTGCAGTGCAAGTACCGTTTAGAGCAACAAGCTCATGCTTATACCTTCGGCTTCACTCGCACACAAGGTGGAACGATTATATTTATATTTTATAGCTTAATATTTCTTCAGGTGTGTGCCTACCCTTTTGTGTTCATTATTGTCGCCTTCGTTTTAGAGCGCAGCTCTTAGGGGCCCGTTTCCGGCTTGAGCGGCGTCGGCGTCGCCGTCGCCGTCGGCGTAACCGCGGCGTCACGTGACCCCCCGAGGTCACGTGACCCCCCCCCCCCCGAGGTCACGTGACCCCCCCCGAGGTCACGTGACCCACTCAGGTCACGTGACACCCCGAGGTCACGTGACCCCCGAGGTCACGTGACCTAGGGGTGTCACGTGTCCTTAGGGGGTCACGTGACCTCAAGGCGGTCACGTGACTTCCTGAAGTCACGTGACCCCCTTGAGGTCACGTGACCCCCTTAAGTCACGTGACCCCCTTAGGTCACGTGACCCCCAGAAGTCACGTGACCGCCTTGAGGTCACGTGACCCCCTAAGGTCACGTGACCCCCTGAATTCACGTGACCCCCTAAGGTCACGTGGCCCCCTGAAGTCACGTGACTTCTGGGGATCACGTGACCCCCTAAGGTCATGTGACCCTTCAGGTCACGTGAGCCCCTGAGGTCACGTGACCCCCTGAAGTCACGTGACCCCCTTGAGGTCACGTGACCTCAAGGAGTCACCTATCCCTCAGTACGCTTCCATCTTCCTCCTCAAGAGCTGCGCTCTAACCGGCGTTACAGGGAATTGTAAACGGCTTTCATTTTTTTACTACCTCTACAATCACGCTCCCTTTTACTCTCTTGGTGTTAACGCTTAGGTTTTTTTGTCTTACTAGTACTATAAACGTCCACTTGTGGGGCTACGCAAGCAAATTTTTCGAACCCGCTCAAAACGCTCTTACGCTGAAGAAAAACGCTCTACTAAAACGCGTTTTTGGACGTCCGCTTTCCATTCCGGCGAAGCGGGCCGCGCATCCGCAGTTTGGCACCCTCAGAGCGGATCGGAAGATGAAAGCGGTCTACTAAAACTCTAAATAACAAGCATTTCGTAGCGTGTAAGGCTTCAAACGTGTTAGTCATGTGTTTAGGTTTCATTTCTATTTTCATTGATTCACTGAAAAAAAGGTTCCCCAGGATCGTGTCCGGTATGTCGACACAAACCTACCTGGACAGCTACCGCCATCTATAAGCGGCGGCGGCAAGCACACAACCAGTATGGTTTCCGCCGACGCTCGTAGATGGGGGCAACCTTTCCAGCTATCATAGAAGAATAGGGAGTATTCACTGGCGGCCATAGCTGTGTGGGCGAATGCTGAGCGCGTGCTGACGGCGAGCTCCACAGTTCTTTTGCAGCATGCATTCCGCACCGCCAAGATTGCCGGCCTTAGCGACATATTAATGTGAGCTCGTTCTGAGCATGCGCTCTAAACAGCACCCACACGTATGGCGTCCATTGAATACTCCCTATTGATAGTTGGGCGCGTTGGTGGGAATTCATCGTAGGAAACAGCGCGAAAAACAGCCGACGACGAAGAAGCACACGTAACGACCGAAGCGCTCGTCACGTTTGTTTCTTCGTCTGTATTGCGCGCTGTTTCCTTCGCTTCTACGTTCTTATCAGTTTCGGTTTGGACTCACGATGGGTCGGCCTTTTCAGGGAAAGGAGACAGGCTGCGGAAGGAGCGATGACGTACGCAGCAGCGCGATTGGGTCCGCAACCGCCGCAAAGCCGCTGTCGCCTCGACTTCCACAGCGTCCAGCGCTTCAGATTCCCTTGCCAAAGAGCACATCGCTCGCTTGGGAAGCCGCCGCCGAGAACGGAACCAGCGATGTCAAGGGCGCCGGCGGGCCAACGCCACGGACGACGATCGTGCCACGGAGGCGAAGCGCAAGCGCGAAGCCCGGCGACGACTGCACTCCACGCCCGCTGAACAGTTCCCGGGTGCGACGGCGAGGTTCTAAGGGGAGTTCGTGGAGAACGCGTCTGGCGTCAGGAGCGCCGTGTGCGACCGACTCTGGTTCGCCGGAGACGTATCCACGATCTGCGGCGTGTCGGACGAGAAGCAGCGGGAATCGGGCGCGTGCGCGTTGCGGCAGTGTATCGAGTACAGCTCCGCTGGTCTTCCTTCTTCACGAGAGTGGAAAGGCTGAACGTTTTATTGGCATACGTTACACGGGGATATTATTCATTTATTTTGTTTTAACAGGAAACACTGCGTAATTAAACTCCAGATGTCGGAGAATTGGAAATCAAAGAAAAATGAACTCCGAAAAACTACGAATTTTTGGCAAAAATGAACTCCGAAAAACACCCTCCGAATTTCACGAAAAATGAAACTCCGAAAACACGGAACCCTCCCTATATAGGAAGTATTCACTGGCGGCCATATCCGTGTGCGCGACTGCTGAACGCGTGCTGATGACGAGCTTCCACAGTTCCTTTGTAACGTGCATTCCGCACCCTCAAGATTGCCGATCCTTGCAGCATATTAATGTGGGCTCGTTCAGAGCATGCGCTCTAGACATCACCCACAAATATGGCGCCCAGTGAATACTCCTTATACCAGGGAGAGCAATTATTGTCGTTCAAAGTATGTGATGGTACGTCCACAGGATCAACCTGAATGTCCGACAAAGGTTTCAAATGTCCAGCAGAGGCATCCATGTTACGTTGGCAGCATGTTGTTGAGGGATCATTTTGCACTGCATATGGTACGTACTTTGATTCTTGGATGGATCACAATGGATATCCATTGGATGTGTTGAATGCCTGGGCAGAACATATTTTAGACATCCATTAGATGGATGCCAGAGAGAATAATTCATGATGTCCTATGTATGTAGATGGTACGTCCACAGGATCAAGCTGGGTGTCCAAAAGAGGCCCCAAATGTTCCGCAGACTCATTAATGTTATGTTAGTGGTTCGTTTCTTAAGCGCGAGACACATGTACGACGAAACCTTCCGATCCGACGTGCGGACTGCCGGAGTGACCTTGGGGGGAGAGGGTTTTCGTAGCATCGGAGAGCGTTGAAAACCCTCGCCTCCGACCGTCGTATTGCGCGGTCGGACGTCGGATCGGACGGTTTCGTCGTACATGTGTTTCGCGCTTTAGGGGATCATTTTGCACTGCATGGTAGTACTTTCAATGTTACATGGATAATTGTGGATATCCATTGGATGCGTTGAATGTCCGGGCAGAACGTCTCTTAGATATCCAACAGATGAATGCTGGTTGGCTGGGACCTTTCCTTTAAAAACAAGTTACCTCTTTACAAACGACAGTGCCCATAAATGGCATGCTCAAGGCGGTGGCCTGAGGTATGGTGCTAGTAATGTGAAAGATAGAAAATATTAAGCGCCACCTACGAAAAGTTTTCCGCTGGACTGATTTTCGAAATTTCGAGAGCGCATCTGTCAACCGTTTTTTTAAAGAAGGTTTCGCGACAGAAGAGTATACCCTATATCTATACATACGTTTATTTATAACACATTCAACTAAACTGGCGACCACCAAAATTGCGTGAAAATACGGAAATAATGTGTTCGTGCTTTCTAAGGTTGCTATGCATTAACTAAAATGAGCTCATCTACAACAGTGTCGAATCCGGCAGAATTTAAATTATTTGTACGCAGCAGCATGATGAGTGCGTTGTGTGGGATTGGTTCAGAATATAAAACGAAGGACGACAAGAAGGTCAGTCACATCACGTCAAAAACTTCGTAATATGCTCACACCAAGGCCCATACGGCATGTCGGTCGACCTCATTGAAGGCTCTTCAAACGCTAAGTTGGACCCAAAGTTCACGCGGTGCGCCGATAGGACGCTTGCAACAACGGCGTGGCCTCATATATTCACAAATGCGACGCGCTCCGTAAACTTTGAACACAACTGTGCAATTCAGAAACTGAGTGAGAATAAGAGATGAGAACGCTCGGTGACGTCGAAGCGCCGTGCTCCGATCGGAAGGATAATGGTTAGAGACACTAGAGAGTTTTAGTAGATCGTTCCCATGACTCCGATAACGATACCCGATACTCCGCCACCGCCTCCCTTGTGCATGCATAGTATCGTTATCGGGGCTATCGGAGGTATCGGAACGATCTACTAAAACTCTCTAATAGAGAGTTTTAGTAGATCGTTCCGATACCTCCGATAACCCCGATAACGACACTATGCATGCCGAAGGAGGCGGTGGCGGAGTATCGGGTATCGTTATCGGAGTCATGGGAACGATCTACTAAAACTCTCTATTAGAGAGTTTTAGTAGATCGCTCCGATACCCCCGATAGCCCCGATAACGATACTATGAATGCGCAAGGGAGGCGGTGGCGAAGTATCGGGTATCGTTATCGGAGTCATGGGAACGATCTACTAAAACTCTCTATTAAAGGCTAGCTGCCCTTGCCTCTTACCCCTGTTCCCCTCCGATCAAAGAGAACATAATCGTCGACTGCCCCTCGCGCATGCATGGTCTGGTATTTGGCGTTCTAACGCCAGACTCGGCGATCGAACGCCAAACTTTGTGCAAAGAGCAGACAACGTTGTTCTCTCTTATTGAATGGAGACAGTGGGAAGAGAAAAAGGCAGGTAGCCTTTAGGTCTACCCGCAATCCTCCCAGTCAGAGCTCGGCTCTGTGATGTTACCAGACGCTCTAACCTTACCTCTCCTTTGGTTTCTCTTTGTATAGCGCACCAGCTAGGATTCAAGAACGAGTGTTTCACTGAACCTCTTTCTATAGTGATTGTTTTTGGTTTCGCGAATGAGTCCTTTACTAGGTCCGCTTGATATTGCGGCACATTGTAGTCGAGATGCCGTCGGCATAACGACACTGCATAAAACTCTCCACATTTAAAACACCTCGCAACGCTGATTTGGGTTCATGGTAGTTCCTTCGGCGCACTTGAACTCCGCCGCAAACTCCGGCGTGTTCATCAGCGGCACGTTACATCGCATATGCATGGGCGAGTAGAACTTTACGGTATCGCCGCTATTCTCCGTCTTGGACCCGGGCATTTCTCTTGAACACCACTTGTAGCAGCTGTTGATGAAGAACGCCTGTCTGGCCGAGTACTTCCTGTCGCCGATCTTGTGGTCCGCTTGGTACCCGAGCGAGTTAAAGGCTCGATATACCTTTTCCAGTCCACCGCAGTCTGCGAAGTTTTCTGAGAATGCCGTGTCTCCGTAAGGCACTCCCCCCGCCCATGGCACCTTGTTGTAGAATGTCTTGAGACACTGCACGCGGACGTCGAAGCTCCTGCGGGACTGTGACGTCCACCAGTCCTCTCGGATCCCAGATGCGTTGTAAAGGCTCAGCTCCGGGTCGAACGCGTGCGTAATCTCGTGGCCTACCACGTGACCGAGACTGCCATAGTTGAACGATGCTGGCACGGAGTGAGCGTAGAAGGGAGCAAACAAGATGGCCGGAGGGATAACCATCACGTGGTAAACGGGCACGTAGAACGCGTTCACGAGGACGGTGGGCAGTTCTACGTTGATCGCCGGAAAGTAGCTTTCTGAGGACTTGAGCAGGCCCCTCAGGCGCTTCGACTCTGAGTCTCTGATGGCGGCCAGCATGTGGGCGTAACTGCCCTCGAGTACTGGCAGGAACGAGTAGTGATCCTCCAGCTGCTCCGTACGTGACAGATTGATCGGTCGCCCAACCAGACTGCCCAGGTGGTCGATGCGCTCAAGGGCCCTAGACCTCGTAGCCTCGTCGATCCAGGACAGGTTCACAAAGCCGTCGCGCGTCGCGTTGCGGACGCGCGTTACCATGTCGCGGATTTCGACAAGGTCGCGTTCTTCGAGGTTCCAGCGGACGAACAGGTCTCCCATCACGTACGGTATCGTCAGGATGGCGTCCATGACGCAGTGACTCAGCATGAGGATCATGGGACCGCTCCTCTGGGGCATCTGTTCCTTCAGGATTCGGGAGGACGCTGACGCGGACAGATACCTGGCCAGCTGCAGGCCCACATATCCTCTCAGCGTCTCGGAGCGGGCATCATCGCCCAGAAGCCTGCCCAGGTAACCCAGGTAGCCACCGTGGGTGACCCAGATCTCGTCGTCGTCCGTCATCTGGCGGTCGGGAGGCAGCAGGCGGTTCACGGCACGCAGCATGTTTTCGCCCAGTGACGTCGAGCCGGTCAGGTTATCGAGAGCGGAGAAGCGCACGTACGTGGACGTGGTGTTGGGACGGTCGCCCGCTGGTGGCAGTGCGGCTGTCAGCAGCGTGTTGTCGAGAAACACGACGCGCTCGATGAGCTGCAGATCAGGCGTCCTGTAAAAAAAAAAAAAAAAAAAAAAAAAAAAAAACATGGAAGTCTGTACGCCAACAAAGTTTCACTTCGCATTGTAACCATATGTTGTCTTACTCATTCTGAAAGTTAGCTGAAGTTCTACCTCGTAATTCCAGTTTCTTTAGCGTGGAAGATGTAAAGACATGAATATATTTCAGTGACTGTGCTACATAGGCTTAAGTTTTACATATGCAGACTCTCGTATCACCGTGCGTGCATATATAACCTTGGTTGATATTAATTGAGCTTATGTTTTGTTCAATTATTTTCCCTACTCCTGGAATAGTCAGAGCGGGGCTACAGTTTTTGAAAACAATTAAAGATATGCCAAATCCCGCTTTGTTGCGCTTTACTAATGTCAAACCCCAATATTAGCGACTAAGTTACCGACATACGAACATAGCATCGCGCGAGCAATCCTGATGACTGCTGTTGAGCTGTAGAAGAAAACACCGAGACATAAGGTGGGAATCGAGTGTTTGGTAAACATCAACCTATGTCATGAGTACCAGAAATGTATCAGATGCACTTTTAAACAATTAGAAAGAGGAGACAGGGGACGACAAAGACGTCTTTGTCGTTCCTTATGTGATCTTTTCCTAATTGTTTAAAAGCCGCCAACAGGCTCAAATAGTACAAGTCTACCAGATACAAAGAAAACACTCGCAGAACTAGAAGTCCGGAGGTTATTTTTACTGAGCGAAGGATACTTACTTTCCTGAGATAAGTTCCCCCATAACCTCGAAGAACTGGCGGGTGCGTCCCTCGCTGATGATGATTTTACGCAGGACCATCCACTCCATAATGAACTGGTAGCTGAAGACGAAGTGCAGGATGTAGTACCCGGGCTTCTTGAAATACACGTCGGGCGACAGTTGGAAGAGTAGGTGGATGCCCCTGACGAGGGACAGCTCGACCAGGACATCGACCATTGAGGGAGAACCATGGCGTTTGTCGGGAGGCCAGGACAGGTTGTACTGGGACATGAACTGCCTCACGTAATCTGCGAGGGATGTCCCATGCATATAGTACTGTGCGAAATTTCACCGAGCCTTCTCATCGGGGCAGGAGGGTTCGTAGTTATCAGATGCTCAATCGAGGGAAAGACGACGTTATGAATTGGTCTTGAATTAACCTTTTCCGAGAAGAGTTCTGCACGGGCCCGAGCTCTGTTCGCGCTAGCGGCGGAGACCGTTAGTGCGATGACGGAGCTGGTAGGATGCGATCGACGACGCGCTATCTCAAAGCACGGAATCGCTATGTTAGTTCGCATCTATGCCGATTAAAAGAAGTTTATTTATTAAAAAAGTGTATGACGTTTGTGTGAGTGATCTTTCTAATAAGTAACAACACCTCGAAGTTGCTTTTTAATGTGATAGCATTATTAAGCTACTCACCACAAATTTCTGTCTATGTATGTCGCCTCTAATGTAGTCAATTTTCCGTTAAATTTATCAGAAAATTGACTTCATGTGACCTTCGCACCAATTAAAGTTCCCCGCTAATTTTAGCTAAAAATTGACTTCACGATATCTATGCACAAATTCAAGTTCTCCGTTAAATTTAGCGGAGAATTCACGTCACGTGACATGCACCAATTCAGGTTCCCCTCTAAATTTAGCGAGGGACCGAACACCTGCCCATGTGTGTGCGACGATAAATGCTATCGCATTCATAGATAATCACCCCTGGGGTTTTTACAAATTTGCCTCCACCATCAAATATAAACAAAACAAAAACAAAAAAACTTTGAAATGTTGAGAAACAAGCCTGGAGCTTCAAATTACAGCTTGCGCGGCGTGCGGAAGGGCTATTCACAGCCTCTCTGATTCTTGTTTTTAGTGCGAAAGCATTACCTGGTCTCATGGAGCGAGCTGACGTCATCAGTTCGAAGCGCGAAAACGGCACCTAGTTTCCTTCGGTTCCATTGGCTGGCGCCCGTCGACGGGGCTCCCATTTGCCACTGCGCCCGTCAGTTTCCACAACCGCTCATCCCATGGCGCTGTGTGTCCATCATCGCATCATTAACTCGGAGCGTCTAAGGTCAGCGTGCCCAGGGAGCACACGCGCTGATCGGCGACGAAAGGTACGCAGCAGATGAAAAAGGGAGCGGACGAGAGGCTTGCATGCTTTCGCATTCACAACTCATAAGGAATGCTTAAGTGTACCTCGATCTTTTTTCGGATCTGTGAAGATCGTCCTAGAAAAAGGTTTTGCATTCACCAGAGTAAACGACGTGCCGTCTTCTTAGCTGTGCACGCGCGCACAGTTGTGCTGCAAAGCGCCGCACTCCTTTTTTAGGCACATTGAGCTTGCTGTGATTTGACTGTGGCTGACGAGCAAATGCTCGTCAGCAACTGACACAATTAGCTCCTCCAACATCGAATACGTGATAAAGAAGTTTGTCACATCAATACTTCCGCTCGAAAGAAAAGCAGAAATTTTCAAATTCTTAAATTGTCGGACATGGCCGGCCAATTCAGGCGATTGATTAATTTGTTCTATCCAATTTTTACTAACAATTTTTTTACAAATTTAAAGTCGCCCGCTAAGAAGCGCATCACGCATTATGCGCATTAGGGGCCGAAAAAGTAATTATACAAAAGCCGTATTCATAACGGGTGTACATTTTTTGAGACGCTGATTCCGCGTCGACTGGGTGAATAAGCAGGGATTTAATTGAAACAACTGTGGAAGCCAGCCATTTCTTCCTGCCAGTTATTTTGAGGAAATGATTGTTTAGTGGTTTACAAAAGTCTAAAAGGAATCAACTTGGGACTAAGAGACCAGAAATCACAGAACACATTAGAACCAACAACACACACGGAATCGCTTTCACTGAAGTGTCTGCTACACACGCGAGAGGTTCTCAAATTTCGCTTTCCTATTTTCATTTTAATGAGACATTCCTTTCTTAGTTTTATTTTGTTCGAAGCATAATAAAAAAAATACACCCTATTTGCTATGGTAGATGCTGTTGTGGAATAAAGCGCTGAATATTCTATTTTCATCATCCAGCCTTTTGTACTGGGGTAGAGGAACAGCACAGCACCCTCCGAGCGCTTCGACACGTCAGCGCCAAAAGTGTTTGTAGGCACGACTACGCATGCCACGTGCGGTTTCAAAGTTTGGTCAAATGTGCTACTACAAATATCACTTCACCAAATAAACACAACGCGTGAAACAGGTTTTGCAGCGCATTACCCAAACAGCGCATGAAGCGAGCTGACGAGCCGAGGGATCCAAGATCTGCCCGGTCTGTCCCAGTCTGTCGTGCCCACTGATAGAGATCAGTGGTCGTGCCCGTGATGTCCCAAATGATGATGATGATGATGATAGCTAGAGAAGCGCCCCCTGTAGTTCGCGCACGCCGCCAATAGGATAATCAAAACCTGTGCACTAGAATTTTTACGTCTGTACAGCGAGATGGAGCGAAAACAGATTGGACATGAGCGCTGCGTTAGCGTTCGACTGGACCTCGCGTCCAATCAACGCGTCGAAGAACGCTTGGCATCGGGCTCGGGTCCAATGCGGAGAGCAACTCGCGTCTGCTTCTTGCGGAGGAGTTGCAGTGACGTCAGATGTAAGCCAAGTTCTTATTGGATGATTACAAAATTAGCAGGTAAACCTCAAGGCATCTAGCACTGAGGTTTACCTGCTATCCTTTCAATCACAGCCAATCAGAACTCGGCGTCGTTCTGACGTCGCTGCAACTCCTGCGCAAGAAGCAGACGACTTGCTGTCAGCATTGCTTAGTTGGCGCTCTATGACTGTGATGACGTTTTATGGAGGAAAAGGAGGTCGTTTGCAGGCCTCGATTGTTCTAGGTAGTGTATGCTGAACCGACAGGTCCCGGTGACTCCATGGCTCCCTGAGTGCTGTGCGGGGAAAAAAAATAGGGCCCAAGGCGCTTTTTTCGAGCGTGTCCTCGTACCTACCTATATTATCAACGCCGCGGACGGCGTCTTGGATGCAAGTCTGAAGCAACTGGGCAGCTTTGACGTGCGAGCTGACACTGCGTGGCGCTGGTCTCTTGACGTCCATCAGGATGAGACGCTTGAAGAAGGACAGAAACACGCGTATCTGCAGCGCCAGGAACGAGTTCGGCAATACCTACAGGAGGAGATTCGTGCTGTCAGTTGTACACTCCCGTAAATTAGAACTACAATCCCTGACAAGATGAGATTGGCTAGCAGGTTCTTCCAGCCTCCAGCGCGAGCTTTCTGTGCGGAGCGCAAGTTCGTCTGCTTCTTTTTCGGGGTTGTGGTGACGTCAGAACGTCGAACTCTGATTGGAAGGATAGTGTCTAGACCTCACGCCAGCTTGCTTTGAGGTCTACCTACTATCCTTCAATCAGAGCTCGGTGTGCTGATGTCACCATATAACCCCTGCAAAAGAAGCATACGAACTTGCGCTCCGCGTACCATCGACAACACTTCAACTTCTCATGATCGTCGAGTGTGCACGCACAACCAAAGCTCGACTGAAAAGCATCAAGCGCGCGCTCGAGGCCGGGCATTCGAAAGAGACGCACTGCCGCCGTTCTCACCCTGACTCTATTTGACGTCACTGCGGGGGCGCTGCCGTCGGCACTGCGCATGCGCGGACGCTTCACTTCTCCCTGATCTGGTTTGTGCGCATGCGCAATGCCCACACACGCGTCGACAAACTATACGGGGCGCAAGTTCGTCTGCTTCTTGCGCAGGGGTTGCGAGGATGTCAGAACGCCGAGCTCTAATTGGCTGTTTAAAAAAAATAGAGGGTAGACCTCAAGGCATCTAGCACTGAGGTCTACCCACTATCTTTCCAGCCAATCAGAACTCGGCGTCGTTTCCTGACGTCACCGCAACCCCTGCGGAAGGAGCAGACGACTTGCTCTCCGCATAGGCTTGTTTGGAAACACTGTGTGATGCGCGTCTTCGAAGTCTGCTAGCTTTTGAGTGGCGGAGGCGTTTGTGCTGCTTGCTATAAGGTTTTTGTGGTAAACGGCATCGAAGGACGAAACTGGCCAAGGTATACAGCAAATTTGAACGTGACCATCCATCACTTTTGTTTGATGGGTGATACTTTCTTTAAGGCCCAAGGGCCAGGACAAAGGGCAAAGACCCAAAAACCAAAAATTGTCACGCAAAGAAGCAATAACGTTTCTCCATTTTTTTTTATTTTTAGAGGTAGGGAGGTGAATGCGACGAGGCTAAAAAATCGTCTGATCTTGTACTAACTACTACTGTAATCAAATTACTTGTAAGCGATTTTTCTAGTAATTCTGTAATCATTTGAATACTTTTATTAGGCATGCAGTAATCAGAAGAGTGATCCAATTACTTCTGGAAGTACTCAAATTTGTTTTAACGGTTTCTATTTTTATCTACACTCTTTAATGGCACACTTTGTTTCTGCAAGTTCCCTACCAAGGAATTATCGAAGCAAGTCTCCGACAGGGGGCTGTTTCTCAACATTGGTAGATTAAGTAGTTCGGTGATTTTAACCCAATAACGGACAGAACGTTAGACCCGTTCTCAAACCGGGAGAAATATCTGTCGTTTTAAAAATTTGAAGTAATCGGAAAAGTTAGTCACTTTTTCAATTAACGGTCAATTACTTTTTTTTTCTCGAGTAATCGAGTAATCTCACTTAATACTTTGAATTCAAGAGTAATTGTAATTTATTACTTTTTTTCGAGTAACATGTACAATACTGCTGGCAGGTGGTTATCCTTAGAATGCGCGGCGTGAAAGAAGGCTTGGCAGCGCCCTTATTCGTCTGTTGTATGTTGCAGCATAAAAACTGCAGAAGCAGCCACACACACACACGCACCCCCACACGCACGCACGCATGCGCGCGCACACACACACACACACACCAACACACACACACACAAACACACACACACACACACACACACACGCACACACACACACACGCACACCGCCCTGTGCCCAGCGCGCATTGGGCATGTTTCAGCGTATAGCGGCGTCGGCGTAACTGCGCGCGTTGCATTATGGGACGTTACAGACTTGTACTCCAACTCAATTTCCCGTTAAATATAGCGAAGAAACTAAATTAGTATGTAGGTCTGTGACGTCCCATAATGCAACACTGCGCATGCAGTTTCCCCCAAAACATTTGGCGGAAAAACTGACGTCACATGACCTCAACACAAATTCAGTTTCGCCGCTAAATTTAGCGGGAAATTGAATTGGTCTTGAGGTCACGTGACTTCAGTTTTCCCTCTAAATCTAGCGGAGAAGCTGAATTCGCTCATGGGTGACGTGACACGAAGTGACGTGACGTCATTTTTCCCCTCTAAATTCAGCGGGGAAACTGAATTGGTGTTGAGGTTACGTGGCGTCAATTTTTCAGCTAAATTTAGCGGGGAAACTGTGGGAGGAAGGGAGGGTACGGAGGAGGAGAATAGGAGAATGGAAGGGCACGCAGGAGGAGGAAAAGAGGAGAATTGGAGGGTACACATGAGAAGGGAGAAAAGGAGAAAAGGCTGAGAAGGAGGGGTGGGAGGAAGAGGAGGGGAGTGGAGGAGGAAAACTCGGAAAACATCTTTGTACATAGACGCTTGGCTTCTTTCGCGCCAAAAGTCAAGCTTCGTGATGCTCAGTGGCCTTATCTCCGGTCATTCAAAAAAATACTTGTCCCTCTTGTTCCCCTTCTCCAGGGATTATTTTCTTTACGCACATTTGATTGGTTCCAGTTGCCGCAGACGAACTCGTAGAAGTCGTCGCAGGGCTTCTGCTGCGGGTTGATGGACAGGGCCAGATCCTGAGCCCAGTCGTCGCACCAGGGCTGCTGGCAGCCTACCAGGTACCTATTGCGGAGGTAACAATCGTTTTCAATCCAGTTTTAAGAGTAACGCGGAGGGCAAGTTCGTCCGCTTCTTGCGCAGGGGTTGCGGTGACGTCAGAACGCGGAGCTCTGTTTGGCTCGAGCGGAAAGATAGGGCGTCGCCCGAGACCCCCTATCTGAGCGTCGTCTGCTCCTTTGCAACGTCGCCTGCTATTCAACAGCTCTCTTACCTTTACTATAGTGCCTGGAACGCGTCTCCGACTGGTGTGTTTACCGGGTTCAAAAAAGTGGTCCCTCGATTTCCGCCTGATGACGTCATAGAAGCGTCATGCTGTCGCCTGTTGCGACCCTGGCGGTGCCCCAACAGTTCTGGTATAAGTAGCAGACGCCTGTTCTGCTGCAGGTCGCTTTCCACTGTGACAGTTCACGGAAGCTGGAGCAGCCGGAAGTTGGGACGCCTAAAGGGAAGCCGTGACGAAAGCGACACTCGCGTTCGCTCGTGCTTTTCGCCAGCATTTCTACGGCCAACCGCCAGGATCGCGACAGGCAACAGCATGACACTCGCGTCATTTGTTGCCACATTGGGACCACTTTTGATGTATGGGCGGGATAGGACGCTAAACACACCAGTCGAAGACGCGATCCAGGCACCATACCTTTACGAGCGAGCTCCACTTCGCCTTTCAGAGAGGAGAGACAAAATAACTCGAGCGGTACGATGTGTTTTTGTCTAACAATTCTAGCAGACACGTATCAAGGAGCGAAGCCAAAGGACTCACGGACGAGGTGGCCGACGCGCCGCGGTTTCTTTGCTAACAGCCGAGAACGAGGGTGGTTAGCGTCCGCAAGTTCCCTCCTTTTGTGTGCGGAGTCGAGCGTATCGGCGGAAGTTATATCGTAGACTCGTTGACACCAAGAACTAACTATTGTTTTTATTTTTGGCGAAATTTTATGGAAAGTTATTTTTCTATGCCCTGTTATTTAAACAGACGAACACTTGCTGGGGAGTAATCCGATGGACTTCAATTAGCCCTCTGTATTTACTCAAGCCACTTTTTTTCTAAAATTACTGTCTTAACAGACAGGAATAAAAACACGCTGCTTCCTTCAGTGTAGCGCGCGTGCTGCCCCGGACATCTAAGGGCATCACAGACCAGTTATTGCTGTTTCGTGCGACTAGGAGCCGCTTGTCCCTCTGAGAAGGGTGCCAGGTGTGCAGAGAACCACGCACCTATTTAATAGGCTAGAGTCTCGTTCGTTATCGGAATTAACCAGACAAATTGCTCCAACAACTAAGAACGGACATGCGCTACCATCCACCACATTAAGAAAGAGCTCTCAATCTATCAATTCTCCCAGAAATTTAAAATGCGACACACCGTCGTGAATGCGCCCACCACATCCAAAGACGCAGCACGTTTTCATTTCCCCTGGTAACACTGCCCCTTGGACAGCGTCTGATCAGAGCCGACCTCGAAATTACACAGGCGATCAAGGGGGTCGGGGGGGGGGGGGGGGGGGGATCATATCAGATACACGCAAGACTGACTTGGTCAAAACGCATGCGTAACCCGGCATGTTTCTCAGTAAGAAAAATCGACCAACAACGTGGATTACGATTATTTCTCTCGTCACATATTGACAGTGTCCCTGAAACGTCCGCCATTTTATTCCACACGAAATCCGCATGGATACTCAAAGGCTGTACAACACTAGAGCGCACTACACAAGAGCGCCGACATTAGAGAGCGCGCGCGACACGAGAGCGCCGCGACGTTAGAGCGCACGACTCGAGAGCGTTGTGACGTTAGCGCGCGCGACTCGAGAGCGCAGTGACATTAGCGTGCATATCATTAGAGCGCCCGTCACTATACTCCGTTTCACCTTATGTTGTACCGCAGAGAAGGCTAGAAGTGCGAGCTCATAGCGTTGGGAGCTGCCCCTAATGCACGAGAGCTTGTGCCGCCGAGATGAGCCTTGGAGCAAAAAGGTCGCGCTTGTAGCCTTTCCTGCGGTACATCGTAAGGTGAAACAGAGTATAGAGCGCACAACCAGTCCAGCGCGAGTGGCCCGACCCGACCGACCATTTTTTATGTGCTTTATGAGAAATAGACGGGGATTTATGCCTCGGAATTCAGCAAGCTGGGCATCACGAATGAGTCGACGAAATGTTTGCGTGTGACAAACCAAGAAGTGTTACAAAAAGCTGACAAGCAGAAAAATTAAAAAAAAAAAAAAAAAAAATATATATATATATATATATATATATATATATATACAGGGTGTTTTTTTTAAGCTTAACAGAATGTTTTTTTTTCAAAAACCATGAAAGCTAGATTAATGCGGTCTGCGCAGGTGAGTTATACGGCCAGGGGGACATAATATAGGAGTCTAATCGTAACGGTCAGTCGACTAACTAGTTAAAATTTGTTAACGAACTTTTTAATTAATGAAAATAGACATATAGTTTCAATTAGAAACTTGCTGGGCGTCATCAAAAACCCCTAAATCAGTCATTTTCAGAAAGACTTTGAGCCCGTGAGAAGCGTAGTAGTGCACTAAAGTTATCACTCGTGGAGCACGTACAAAGCTAGCGGTTGCGATAAGGTGCCCGCGCAATTTTTCTGCCTCTTATCTAGCCCCAGCCTTGCTCCTGCTCCACGAGCGGTAACTTTAACGATTCTCCCGCATTCAAAGTCTTTCCGAAAATTGCTGATTTAGTGGTTTTCGATGCGCTGAGCAAGTTTATAATTGGAACTATATGTCTATTTTCATTAATTAAAAGGTTAATTAACGAATTTTAACTAATTAGCCAACTGATCGTTACGATTAGACTCCTATATTATGTCCCCCTGGCCGTATAACTCACCTGCGCAGACCACATTAACCTAGCTTTCATGGTTTATTTTTAAAAATTCTGTTAAGCTTAAAAAAAAAACACCCTATATATATATATATATATATATATATATATATATATATATCAGTAGCCTTCATTTCCGCAGTAAAAAAAAACAACATCGCAGCTGACCTAGCTTCATTAGTTCTTTGATTTTAATTGATAAAGTTCACCACCGACCTGACTAATTTTTATTTTCAGATATTATAAAACGTTCTAAAGAAAAGAAGCAACATGTAACGTGCTTAGCCGTATTCTGGGGTTTTCAAGATCAATTTCGCGAAAGGAGTTCTCGGGCCAAGTGTCATACGCCAACCATTCATGTTGTCAAAAATGAAAATTGTACTGAACGCTTAATTCGGGAACCTCTGCCGACAATGAAAATGAAATATGCGTTGATGACAGTGTGGTAGAGGGATCGAGCGCTGGGGTGACACGGTACGGCAGGCACCATTTCCTATGCGCTTCTCGGAATCTGACCACTACAGATTTTGACGCATTGGTTATGTATCTAGGGACGTTTTTGTCGGAAAAAAGTTGACCTGCAAATCCTACGATTAATCTTTTAAATTTACTACCTGTGGCACTATCCTTGTGTAGAAGTTCGGTCTCTATTCATGTGTAAAACTTTTCAGTTCGAACTTTTATTTGTGTTTGTGCTGCGGTTTTTTCTTCGATATTCATATATTTCTGAAATCTTCACTATCCGTATATTTCTGAATCAAAGCACCCTCATTCAGCCCTATAAGATTAGACTGATTTCTAGGAACAAAGGTAGAGAAGCTACGGTTCTGTAAAATGCAAAGAACGGACGAATTGATAGACAATTCTTTTTCCTGTGTAGGCTCCTTTCTGGGACGTGCAGAAAGGGCAAAGCTTTTAGGTTGTGTTCTTTCAGCAACAGAAGGCGACGTAGTCACTGTACCCGACGCGTCAACGAATGAGGATTTTAGAAAACAGTTCTCAAATATTTCTCACAGATTTGCAGGGGAGGTTTTCCTGTATGCGTCAAAAGGCTGGAAAGCTCTGCAGCAGATAAAATTGCGCTGAGCTTTCCTTCGATGTGTTTTTACTGATAGTTTTTTTAACGGTGAGCTTTCTTCATTACGGACATGGATGTCACAATACAGTTTAAAATTACGTGAGGGACGTCTAAATAGCCACCAAATAGATCGTAGCCCAAATGCCTGTCAAGAATAGACCAAATATAGCAAAAAGTAAACTTTTTATAGTATATCCGAGAGGCGCATGCACCGCAGCAGCGTACAGAAGTCTTAGACTCGCTGCTCCACCCAACTGAAGACATTCCCGTTACCTATATGCCCCACCCCACTCCCCTGCCATCTTTTCTCTCCGATGCCAGTAAACAGTTGGTTGGAAAAAGTCGTACCCATTCTATTTTTTTTTTTTTTTATTAAAGGCATTTTTAATCAATCAAAAATCACCAATGCTTCGATCCGATGAGTCGCACAATTTTGTTCTGTCTGTGGAGCCGCGGGTACATCCCACATAACTGGTCGTGCGCTCTCGTGTCGCGCGCTCAATCGGTCTTGCGCTCTCGTGTCGCGCACTCAACTGGTCGTGCGCTCTCGTGACGTGCGCTCTAGTATCAAGCGCGCTACTGTCGCAGCGCCCTCGTGTCACGCGCTCTAACGTCGGCGCTCTAGTGTCGCGCGCTCAAAAGGCGCTCTCCCGTGTGTGTGTGTGTGTGTGTGTGTGTGTGTGTGTGCGATAAGTTTTGTCATGTCGCTCAATGAACACGAAGGCGAATCCAAATTTTCGTCAACGGAATGAGTGTTCACGAGCGCATACGTCCGAGTGACGCAGTGCTTGCGTCCAATACGTGAGCTATAGGGTCGGGCAACGTGCTCGAGTACCGCGGATGTATCTCAGCGAAAACTTGGAAGAGCTTCCGAACGAAAAGTCAGCAATTGTCCGCCATATTTTTTCGAATTTTGTAACCGAAAAGCAGACTGTTGACTCTCCACCCTCGTGTGCTAGTTTTCTTTTAACACACCATAAACTACAAGCGTTTAGTGAGAGTCCCAATCTAGAATCACTTATTGCAGCCCAGAATTCATTTTATGGTTCCAAAACCCTATCTTAATGTAGGTAGTTTTATTTCATTTTTAGTTTGAGGGATGGATATGTTTTTGACTTTTTGCAACCCTCCAAGCACTTTGGTTATACACGGAGGTGAAAAATTCCGCGTCGGTAGGCTGCGGACGGATCCGCATGCGTCCAGAAAAGCTATAGTGCGCATGCTCGGAAAGCGTTCTACAGTCTACTATGGCAGCGCCCACAGGAGGCGACCGCTGAAATGATATACCTCCACTGAAAAAAAAAAAAAAAAAAAAAAAAAAGATTAAATAGTTGAGAGTTTTTATTTTATGCTCCCAGATTGATCGAGATTGATGAATGAAATACGCAGTGATTAATTGGACCGTTTTGTCCACTCCGTTTCTCTCTATGTATAGTGAGATCGGACTTATAAGTCCGATCGCAGTCAACGCTATAGGGTCCGAAGGGGCCAATTGGGCCGCGTCAAAAAGTGCTCCGTCATTTCGCTCGTTGTCTTTGTGCGTTTGCTCTCACCAGGGTTCAATCAATCAATCACGCAAGGTGAATGCCGGTGGGATCCTGCGTTTTTCTTTCCGTGCCCGTGATTGCTTTAGCCGGTGAGGCAAACGCACAAGAGCTGACGAGCAGCATGACGATTCAGTTTTGGCCCTGCTTGATTGGGCGTCGACTGTGATTGTATTGGCCCTCCCATGGATGTATGTCCCTCACCGTATGCCGTAGGGGATTCCCCAGCAGATTCCGAGGGTGATCGGTGTGGCGAGGAGGACCACCCGAAGGTAGAGGGTCCAGCGAGGTGCCCCGCTGCCGACGATTATTCTCTGCATCGTTCAGTTCGTTTGGACGTCAGCAATGGTCGCGGCGGCTTGCTCGACGTATACACCTGCGACGACATGGGAGACGGTTTTGGACGGGGCTCGTCCGAGCTGTATACTCTTGGATTACTAACACCCTTACGCCAAGATATCGCAATGTTGTATTTGAGCGCGTGCGTGGACAGTGGAGAACGAAGAAGCGTTTCCTGCGATCTTCGATAAAGCTTGAGATAGTGTTGGGTAAAGCACATCTAAAACGTACTTGAAGTAAAGTACAATGTAAATTAGTAAGTACACCGGGTGTAATGTACTTGAAGTAAAGTACTGCAAATAAAATGTACTTTCAAAGCAAAGTACAAGTAAACATTTGGCAGAAATCTGCCTGGTTGGGTAAGAACAATTAGAAGAGGAGGAAGGAACGCCAACCAAAAATAAAAAGGAGCCCAACGTTTCGAAACCTGCTTGGTTTCTTCTTCAGGGGCGACTGTGTGCGCGAGGAGCAAGTGGTCTTCTTTTACGGCGGTGGACGTGATGTTTTCGCGATCGTAATCTGGCTGAGCCCGCTGACGTAAGCCGACGGTAAAGCGCCGAGCGACCGATTGATGTTTTGCGGTGTGGTTTGAATGTGCCATGACTCGACGAAGAGCCTTTGCCGGGAATTGGTCTCAATGTCGAGGATACGTGTGTCGTCGAAGTCAATGCGGTGGTCATTCGAGTCACTGTGTTCCGCAACCGCGCTGCGCTCATGGTCGAATTTTCGCACGTCGGTTTTGTGCTGGCGAAGTCTTTCTTTAAAGTTTTTGGTTTCGCCGATGTATGTGGCAGGGCAATCCGCACAAGGAATCTGGTAAATAACGCTTTGCGCTCTTTCCTTGGGGGGACGATCTTTTGGCCGGGGCATCAGGTGTCCAAGCGTTGACACTGGTTTGTGGGACATCTGGATGCCTTCTTTTGCCAGCACACGCGCGAGCGCTTCGCTGGTTTCCTTTATGTAAGGGACGCAGATGCGCGTGGTTGAGCGAGGATGTGCGATTTCTTGTGTTTCGCCGATTGGTCTTAGGCAAAGGCTCTTCGTCGAGTCATGGCACATTCAAACCACACCGCAAAACATCAATCGGTCGCTCGGCGCTTTACCGTCGGCTTACGTCAGCGGGCTCAGCCACATTACGATCGCGAAAACATCACGTCCACCGCCGTAAAAGAAGACCACTTGCTCCTCGCGCACACAGTCGCCCCTGAAGAAGAAACCAAGCAGGTTTCGAAACGTTGGGCTCCTTTTTATTTTTGGTTGGCGTTCCTTCCTCCTCTTCTAAAACTACAAGTACATTTTAACACAATCTATCATGATGCCCTTTCATTCCCCTATACAGTGATTTTTTAACTGGTATGCATTGCCCCAGGGGTAGTCGGGGAGCATCCTTTTTTTTTTTTTTTTTGGTATGGAGGCGAATATTAGACAAAGGCAAGGGGCCACAGAGTAGTTATTTTCAGAAATGGCGCCAAATTCAGAGTCCGACTTCTGAATTCACCCAAGTGGCCGGGGTTCAACTTTCTAGGAGAGAGCACGACGTCAGCCCTAGCTTCCGCAAGCGATGCTCTCGTAGAGGAGTGTCCTCCCCTTACAGACAAAACAATGAGTGTGCAGGTGAGCTGGTGAAAAATAAATCGTCATGTGGTAGCTGAGACTGTGGTGCGGAAAAATGAAGAAACTTTCAAGTCGAAGGAAAAAGAAGAAGAACGTCTCAAAACATTGAGACGCTGTATTTCTCTTCGACTTAAAAGTTTCTTCGTTTATCCGCACCACAGTATTAGTTGTTACATTTTGATTTATTGTACTCTCCTGATATTTTTAACCTCCTCGCTTACGCTGGCTGAGCGAGAAATAGCGAAAGTTCGCAAAGCTACGAGAAAGCCGTCCCAAAACAAACGGAGCAATGCGTTGTCTGCTCGCGTTTCTGGTAAGAATAGATTGATCCCCTTCAGTATTTCTTCAGAGTTAACAAAGCACCATTTTGAGATACAACTTAAACGAGACCAAATTCGGGGAAGGTACTTTGAAGCCAGGAGTTGTACTTTCCTTAGAATGTACCAGAAAACGAAATACTTTAAGTCAAGCACAAGTGCATGGTCAGAGAATTTTCTTCAAGTAAAGTACGAGTTTTCTAACCCTACTTGAAACAGTACTTCAAATACAACGTACTTATAAAGTACAGGGTGTTCCCGAGAAATGAGAACCGTGTTTTTCGGCTCGCGCAAATGAACTAAGCATCACAGAAAGCTCAAACTTCGTGAGAATGTGACGTTAGCGGGTGGGATAGAACGCAAAAGATTGAGAACATGAAGTCACCTGGATCAAAAGATAATTGAGAAATGTTGTCAAAACAAGAAATGACACTGTGGGCGCCAGTGGTATCTATTTCAGTGAAAACAACTTATCAAGAAAGAAAACAATATCCTCATTCTTGCTAAAAAGTTCTTGTCACTGAAATATATGCTACATGCACCCACAGTGTCATTTCTTGTTTTAACGATATTAGGCTTAGGTGGACGTCGGCTGATAGAGAAATTTTGTTTCTCTCAATTATCTTGTGATCAAGGTACCGTCACGTTTTCAAACTTTTGCCTTCTATATCCGAATTGCCAGCGTCATATTCTAACGGAGTTTCAGCTTTCTGCGATGCATAGTTTATTTACCGGCGCCGAAAAACAGGGTTCTCGTTTCTTGGAAACTCCCTGTGCTTGCCAACACTAGGGAGTTTTCGTAGACCGCGTTTCCCCCTCCGCAAAGCCCTCCGCAACAAAGAAGCCGTTACTCCGCCTGCGCGCCGATGGCCTTGACTGTAGAGTTCCAGGTATCGTAGCGGGTGGCGGAGAGCGTTGCGGTACGGCGAAAACGATCTACGAAAATTCCTTATTGTCTTCAGATAACTGACCACCATGATTTTAAGCGTCAAGACGACTAGAGTGTCGATACTTTCAAACGTAACTTATTTAGTGCCTCTAGGACAAGTAACCAGGCTAGCAGTGGTACTGCAATGGCTAAATTTCTCATCCATACAGCGTAAACCTGTGTCGCCGCACCTCGAAGGCAGAACGACCTTACGCTGCATAATCCCAAACGTCGTATTTGACTAAAACTCGTGTTTTTGTTTCCTTTTTCTGATAGCATGCAAGGGAGCGCTATTTTCTTCTGTTTCATATCATAAAGCCATTGAGATGTCACTCTGACAGGGCTTACCCCGAGGACGGCGTTCAACCTGGCGTTCGAAGGCAGCTCTGCTGCTTGAGCTTGGTTTCCCTATCGTATGCCCTCGCGGCCGTGCGGATCCAGTTGCTTTAGCCTCTTCTATTCCTTTCCTTGAAGCTGCAGTTGAAGGCCAGTCGTCGGCTTCCTCCTGGAGATTTTGACCCCGCGCCCAGATTCTACCCGAACGTCAAGAAGCTGACCTTCTGGCAACGGTTTAGCGCGTGGGCAGGGACAAGCACCATGCACGAGGGAAGAACCAAGACGCCGTCGTCGTCGTTCCCCTGTTTCTGAATCTCGAGATAGGCGTCGAACCGCCCATTTCTCTGAAATGTATACAGAAGGTCCCCTTAAAATTTCATAATATTTTTTTTTGTTTACCACATAAAACAAATGAAAAACCTACGTATTGCCGAAGTTTAGGTATTTTCCGCCCAAATATAGCGGTCGGATGCTTTTTAACAGAATAGTCAAGCAACACGAGTTTATATGTTAAGTAAAGAACATTTTAGAGCTTCATCGATCAGATTTACTTCATATAGATAAGAATGAATTGATTTAAATCACTGTAACCGGAAGAGAGTGCGCAGTGTTATCAGTGATCCGACGAATCAATTAATCTGAACTGTTGAATGAAAAAAGTTGAAAAGAAGGAGTTGCTGTAAATTTAAAGTGCGTACAGTTTAATAAACAACATTCGTTTATTTCATCCCCGCCATACTAAAACAAAAATAACTCGATTATTTTCTTGTTAATTAAAAAGCTTTATTTGATTTTGCTGTTGCATTCTGGCTTGATTGCTATCAAACATTACTTTTCGTTTTTGTTTTTTTTAATTCCTCTTACGTTCCGTGTTTGTTGCAATACGACGTAGCTGACGAACGAATTGGGAAGGCAGCAATCAAGCACAATTCGTTTCCACTTCCTTAAAACAGCGCTTCTTTTGCTCCTGTACAGCCTTACATAAAAATGTTTTCTGCTTTGTGATTCTTTGATTTAAGTCTAGGGTCTCCGAACCCCGCCCGCGGGCCAGATGAGGCCCGCGGATGCGTTTTGGCCGGGCCGTGGATCGCCGTGGTCTGTCCAGTGAATCCCAGCAAAAGCCCTACAATGCAAACACCAAAAAAAAAAAAAAAAAACTCGTTAAAAATATATATATATAAGTATATATATATAAATAAACATATATATACGGCGCCGTTACGCGCAACAAAAACGCAAACAAAGACACAAGAATAAAAATTTTCTCACCATAATACTTATTGCACATTGTCATCATCAACATTAATATTCATAGTCTCCTTCTTCGTGGTGATAAGCGTCCTGTTTCATTAAGACTTGCATATTGTTGTCGTCCATATCTACCCTTTTCGTTAGTTTTCTGTCATCCGTGAATACGCCAAAATTCCTACGCGCTTTGATTCACGCCTACCGAGTCCCCTGGGTCCCAATTATTTTCAATGCACCACCTAGGAACGTATTGCATCTAAAACTAAAGCGTATGCTATCGTCCACCGTAAATTTCTTTTGAATGTTTCTTTAGTTTAATTTGAATGCTTATTTATATGCTTAATTATGTAAAAGGAAAACAAGTCTGTATTAATAGAAACCACTTCGATCGCCTTCATTCGGCCTCCAAAATCACAAATATTGAATTTGCTTTCTTTTTTTTTTTTTAATTTGGTGCACGGAGATTGCATAAATTCATTTTTAAAGTACTGCCGAGGTACCTTCTTCCCGGGGCGTGACATCATATTAGGGGTTTTCG